GGCATTCCTCAGGGCCATGTTCTCAACCAGCATCCTTGGAAGATGAGGTAAAATTTCACACTGGGACAAAGAACAGTCTTGCAACACAAACAGATCCCCAAATCCGAGGATTATTGGCTATCTATGTCACTCCTGAGGGAGCTAGGTTATGTTGCTCATGCTGTTGGCTGTGCCTGGAATAATAAAATTCTTTGTCTCTATTCCAGGAGTGTTGCATCTTCTGGCAGCACCAATAAATATTAACAGACTAACTCCCAAGTAGAGTACAATCCAAAACTCTAAAAGTTTGGGGTTATTATCTTCAATTTAAATTTAATTTAAATCAAGTTATTATCTTCGAATTTAAATTTACAAGAATGTTACAGACTTATCCAAAGTCCTAATACTAACTGGTTTAAATACTGGTGTCAACACTAAATCATGGGACCAGCGCTGTGACTCAGTGGGTTAAGCCACTACCTGGGAGACCAGCGTCCCATATGAATGCCAGTTCAAGTTCTAGCTGCTCTACTTTCAGTGCAGCTACCTACTAATGTTCCTGTGAAGGCAGCAGTAAATAGCCTAAGTGCTTGGGCCCCTGCCACCAAAGTGGGAGACCTGGATGGAGTTACAGGCTCCTACCTTTGCCCTGGCACTGCCACAGTTGTTGAGCCAACTGGGGAGTGAACCAGTGGGTGGAAGATCTGTCTCTCCCTCCCCCCTCTTCCTCCTTTTACTCTTCTCTCTCTCTGTAGCTCTGCCTTTCAAATACATAAATATTCATAAAAAATGCTAAATCATTCTATGAACTATCTTATCTTGGCACTTTTATGATAGGGCCAGCCTTCAAAAACTGTATTAAAGTGCATCATGAGCCAGCACCGCGGCTCACTAGGCTAATCCTCCGCCTTGTGGCGCTAGCACACCGGGTTCTAGTCCCGGTCGGGGCGCCGGATTCTGTCCCGGTTGCCCCTCTTCCAGGCCAGCTCTCTGCTGTGGCCAGGGAGTGCAGTGGAGGATGGCCCAGGTGCTTGGGCCCTGCACCCCATGGGAGACCAGAAGCACCTGGCTCCTGCCATCGGATCAGCACGGTGCGCCGGCCACAGCGCGCCGGCCGTGGCGGCCATTGGGGGATGAACCAACGGCAAAAGGAAGACCTTTCTCTCTGTTTCTCTCTCTCACTGTCCACTCTGTCAAAAAAAAAAAAAAGTGCATCATAGCATATTCAATTCAACCTATTCAGTTAGATGTTACACAACTGTTAACACATCCACACAATTTAACAAAGAAAAACAGGATTTTTCCTATAATTTTTTACATTGTATCCAGTGATGCAAACAGGCTGAACACAAAGCATTAGGTAGCATTCACCAATAAGTGTTTCATCCTAATACTGCCACTTAATCAGGTGTACAAGTTATTGACCAACTAAATAAATTCTCTGAGCTTAGCTTATTATTTTAAATTTTCTTGCTTTTTGTTTTAAATTTATTTGAAAGGCAGAGAGAAAGAGGAGAGAAGAGAAGGACATGGGGAGATAGAGTATCTTCCATTCATTGGTTCACTCCCAAAATGCCTAAAACAGCTGGGGTTGAGCCACGCTGAGGCTAGAAGCCTGAAATCCATTCTGGGTCTCTTATATGTGGAGTCCCAAGTGTGGCATCTAAACCACCTTGTCAACTGCCTGCCCACTTTGAGCATCAGTTTCTATTTTAAGAAGCTAGATGCATTACCAGGGAAATAAAAGTAACGATGCTGCAGTGCATGACCCAAAACAAATGCTCAATACGTAGTACTGTGCCTAAGTTAATACAGCAGATTGAAAATTGTATTCTTACAGGCTGTATCAAGCTTGGCCCCTGGTTGTGTATGGGAATTCTGATATCCTAAGGATCCCACCTTTCCCTCCTAAGTATGACAGGTTCATTGTGCCTAAAGTGTTTATACAATGAGGTTAACAGTGAATACTGCTTCATTCTGTGCCAGGCAGAGGTGACTCCCTAAATGATCTACTATCAACAAGATCTTTGGGCAATGAATGAGTCTTTAATATGCTTCCCTGGTAGGCAATGTATCACTTAACTTGTCACTAGCAGACTTAAGCAGGTCCTATGGGAATGCTTGGTTTTCTATAGACTTACGCCTAAGCACCTTTCCATTTGTGTCTATTCATGACAATAAATCATAACTGTGACTAACAGTTTATTCTGAGTTCTGTAATCATTTAAAAAAATCCCTAACTCTAAGGTTGGTCTTGAGAAGCCCAACACAGATATCAGGAAATCTTTTTTCCAAAAATTTATTTATTTTACTTCAAAGTTGGAATCACACACACACACACACACACGCACAGAGAGACAGAGAGAGAGAGAGGTCTTTCATCCATTGGTTCACTCCCCAGTTGGATGCAATGGCCAGAGCTGCACCAATCCAAAGCCAGGAGCCAGGAGCTTCTTCTGGGTCTCCCACATGGGTGCAGGAACCCAAGGTCTTGGGCCATCTTCCACTGCTTTCCCAGGCCATAGCAGAGAGCTGGATTGGAAGTAGAGCAGCTGGGTCTCGAACTGGCACCTACATGGGATGCTGGCACTGCAGGCGGAGGTTTTACCTGCTACGCCACAGTGCTGGCCCCAGAAAATCTTATAAAATTACAAAGAGAGGGGCTGGCATTGTGATACAGTGTAAGCCACTGCTTGTGACACCAGCATTCCATATCAGACTGCTGATTCCAGTCCTGGCTGCTCCACTTTCAACCCAGCTTCCTGCTAATGCATCAGAGAAGCAGCAAGAGATAGCCCAAGTGCCTGGGTCCTGCCACCAGGCAGGAGACAAGGATAGAGTTCCTGGATCCTGGCTTTAGTGTGGCCCAGACCTGACTACTGCTGCCATTTGGGGAGAGAACCAGTGGACAGAAGCATGTGCTTTCTCCTTCTGCTGCCCTTTCAAATAAACAGTCTTTTAAAAAAAATTTTCAGGGGCAGGTACTGCTGCCTGTGCATCCCATATGGGTGGCAGTTCCTGTCCTGGGTGCTCTACTTCCAATCCAGCCCCCTGCTAATGGCCTGGGAAAGCAGGGGAAGAAGGCCCAAGTGTTTGAGCCAGTCACCCATGAGCGAGAACCAAAAGAAGCTCCTGGCTCCTTGCTTCAGTCTGGCCCAGCCCCAGCTGTTACAGACATTTGGGGAATGAACCAGCAGATGGAAGAGCTCTCTCTCTGTAATCTTTCAAAAATAAATATTTAAAAAATAATGATTTTTTCAAAGTGAAAAGTGCTTAGAAATCTAACCCTTAAATTCTTTCATATGTTGTTACACTATATATATTACCAAACTGTCTTAGCCTAAGAGTCAAGATATCTTTCATTTTCTTAACTCATTAATGATTAGAAAGGTATTAACTTTATGACAGCTAACTGGCAGAAAGTCATTTCAAGGGACAATGAAGCATCATTACATTTTTTTTAAGATTTATTCATTTATTTGAAGGGCAGAATTACAGAGAGGCAGAGGCAGTGAGAGAGGTCTTCCATTCACTGGTTCACTCCCCAGATGGCTGCAACTGCCAGAGCTGTGCCGACCTGAAGCCAAGAGACAGGAGCTGCTTCTGGGTCTCCCATGTGGGTGCAGGGGCCCAAAGCCTTGAGCCATCTTCCACTGCTTTCCCAAGCCATAGCAGAGAGCTGGATCTTAAGTGGAGCAGCCGGGACTGGGACCAGCACCCATATGGGATGCCGGCACTGCAGGCAGTGGCTTTACCTGCTACAACACAGTGCCAGCCCCCATTCACTGTCTACTCTGCTTGTCAAAAAAAAAAAAAAAAAACTGAACTCAAGCCATCTCCTCAAAACTTTACTTCCTTCTTCACTAAAAAAAAATTTTTTTAACATTGTATCTATTTGGGGCCGGAGCTGTGGCACAGCGGGTTAATGCCCTGGCCTGAAGTGCTGGCATCCCATTTGGGTGCCGGTACTAGTCCCGGCTGCTCCTCTTCCATTCCAGCTCTCTGCTGTGGCCTGGGAAAGCAGTGGAGATGGCCCAAGTCCTTGGGCCCCTGCACCCACGTGAGAGACCCGGAAGAAGCTCCTGGCTCCTGGCTTCGGATCAGCGCAGCTCCGGCCATTGCGGCCATTTGTGGAGTGAACCAGTGGATGGAAGACCTGTCTCTCTGTCTCTACCTCTCTCTGTAACTCTTTCAAATAAGTAAAATAAATCTTAAAAAAAAAAAAAAAAAGATTGTATCTATTTATTGGAAGGGGAGAGTGACAGGTCCTCCATTCTCTGGTTCACTCCATAAACGGCTGCAAGCTGGCCAAAGCCAGAAGCTAGGAACTCCATCCGGGTCTCCCAGTTGGAGGCAGGGCCCTGCCCTTGGCTAGCGTCCTGCCTCCCCAAGCACGTTAGCAGGAAGCTGCAAGGGAAGCTGCGCAGCCAGGGCTCCAGCCGACGTGCGGGCAGCATCTCCACCCCCTGCACGACCCGGGGCCCCCTCCAAACTTCTCACCACGAAAGGTGGCTAAGCCCACCAGGCGCGCCACGGCGTGTGGCAGATCCTAATAGCCCAGCTAATTCTTTGGAGGTCACGTGGACAACTCCCAAACTGGTCTAAATCACATTCTCCTTCCAACAATCAAAGTGGCTCCGCCATCTCCCTCCTCAATAAACGGGTGCGAACCGCGGCCCGGGATCTTCCTTCTTCCTTCCCTTATTCTTTTTCAAAGATTTATTATGTTATTACAAAATTAGAGCTACAGGGAGAAATCAGTCTTCCAGGTACTGGTTCACTCCCCCAAAGAAAGAAACTGTGGCCGTCCCGAACCCGCAGCAACAGGCGCCGCCGCGTGCCTCAGGAGGCAGCTTTCCCCGCTCCGCCACAACCCGGGGCCGACATCTTTTCTCCGTTGGAAAGTGACTCCACACAGGCGAAGCCGCGACAGCGCCGGCCACAGCTGAGGGCCGGGAAGCCCCTGCCCGGGGAGGCCTCCCACCAGCCCGCTGGGCCCTTGCGAGCCTCTCCCAGCCTACCTCAAACAGCCCGCTCAGGGCGTCAGCACCCACCACCGACGCCTCCAGCGCGGGAAAGGGCAGATGCCAACGGCTGGCGGGCACACTGCACATGCGCAGTGACCAGGGACTTCCGGGGACGGGGCGGGGACAGCGCCCGCGCATGCCCAGTGGCTCTGGTTGGAGGGGCGCGTGTGAGATGGCGGTTGCAGGCGTCCTCCCCCGTCCCACCTACCAACACTACTGCTTGGATGAGAACCTCAAGAGACACAGCCATCTGGGGAGTGAACCAGCAGGTGGAAGACCTCTCTCTCTCTCTCTCTGCCTCTCTTTAACTCTGCCTTTCTAAATAAATAAAGCTTAAAAAAAAAGAAAAGAAAAGAATCCCTTAGTTTTGAAAGCCTTTCTTGGATGAGGTGTCTAGGAGCGACTGGAAAACCATGTCGAAGGCCAGTAGTTGTGTTGAGGAATGGTGCAACCCAGATACACGCAGAGGCAGTTCATGCTTATGGTTGCAGTACGCCCCCAAACACATAGTTAACGGAAGTCCTCCCATGGTTCAAAGATCGATTACCATGGTATATTGTGAGTAATTCCATAAAGTACAAACTACATGAACGCAGAAGTCTGTAGCCATTATTCAAGACCGAGGTATTATTCCTTGGTCTTGAAATCTAAAGAAATTTGCTTTGCTATATTTCAAAATGGCCTTGGAGCCGCAAAACCCTGATAATCACTAGCAAAAGGTTAGTCTGGTCACATACTTTGATTGCTCCTGTAATCACTTTCTGACAGTGACTCTCCTAATTTAGGTTCTCTAAATTTTAGGATTTTTTTGTTTTTATTTATTTAATTTTAGCCATCAAGACAGGTTAAGAATCTCCCAAAAATTATCAAATCCCAGGTTCCTTTTTACTTCACAGCTATTTCTGAAAATTATCTCTTTCCCCTTTTCCCATGAGCTGCAAAAAGAAACCAGGCTGCATTATCAACACATCGCTTTCAAACCTCAGCAAAATTTCCATGTTCATAATTTATAAGTTCTTTGCACCACACAACGCAGGATGCAATTGCGTTCTCCCTTTCTACAATAAGAATCTCCTTTCCTCCAGATTCAGAGTATGTTCCTCATTCTCTTCTAATACTCACCATGAGTACTTGTGAGGTTCATGTTTCTACCAACAGTCTCCTTAAGAACACATATGTATTCTGTAAGGTTAAAGTTATCTTCTCTTGAATCCCTGTTGGACTGATCAATCCTATTATCTTTAATACAGTTTAGAATTTAGACTCTTTCAATAATGTCAAAGGAAATCTTGATGAAATTAACTGAAAGCGATCATTCTTCTGTATTGATGGATTTTCCCCAGAAAAGATAATTTAAAGCACAGCAATCTGACTCACACTACCCAAAGTGATTTCCTTATTCAATTCAATCCCCATCAAAATACCAATGAAATTCTTCACAGAACTAGAAAAAAAAAATCCTAAGATTCACAGGGAAGCACAAAAGACCCCAAATATTCAAAGCAATCTTGAACAACAACAAAAATCTGAAGGTATCATGATACCTGATTTCAAGACAAACTGTAGAGCTATTATAATCAAAACAGGATGGTGCTATCATAAAGACACATAAACCAAGGGGACACTACAGAGAACCCAGAAATGAAACCACACACTTGGACCCAAATGATTCTTAACAAAGGCACCAAAGACAAACACTGGAGAAAGGACAGACTCTTCAATAAATGGGATACTGATACTGGACATCCATGATAAGAAAACTGAATCCTTTAGAGAAAGACATAAAATTGAGTCTTGACCCCACACTCACCTACATCTCAGTCTATGCAAAAATAAATGCAAAATGGATCAAAGACCTGAATGTGAAACATGAAACTGCAAGAAGAAAATCTAGGGGAAGCAAAGCAGGACACTGGCATAGGACTGGTGCTGTGGCTCGGTGGGTTAAGTCACAATCATTGTAGAAAATCTCTGTCTCTCCTGTCTCTCTCTAACTCTGCCCATATTGGAGTGCTGGTTAGAGTTCCAGCTGTTCCCTTTCTGATCTCACTTCCTGCTAATGAGCCTGGTAGCTGTAACCCTGCCACCCATGTGGGAGACACAGATGGAGTTCCTGGCTCCTGGCTTCTGCCCAGCCCAGTCCCTATCATCATAGCCATTTGGGAAATGAACTAGTGGATGGAAGATTTCTTTCTCTTTGTCTCTGTTTAACTCTGCCTTTCAAATAAAATAAACTTTTTTAAAAAGGACACTGGTATAGCAATTTTTTGCACAAGATCCAAAAACAAAGGCAACCGAATAAAACTAGACAAATAGGATTATAAAAAACTAAGAGGGACCGGTGTCATGGTGCAAGTTAATCCTCCACCTGCGGCACTGGCATCCCATCTGGGCGGTGGTTATAGTCCCAGCTGTACCTCTTCCAATCCAGCTCCCTGCTATGGCCTGGGAAAGCTGTAGAAGATAGCCTAAGTACTTGGGCCCCTGCACCCATCTGGGAGACCTGGAAGAAGCTCCTGGCTCCTGGCTTCGGATCAGCCCAGCTCTAGCTGTTGCAGCCATTTGGGGAGTGAACCAGTGGATGGAAGTCCTCTTTCTCTGTCTTGCCCTCTTACTGTCTGTAATTCTACCTCTCAAACAGATAAATAAAAATTTTTAAAAAAACTAATAAGTTTATGAACAGCACAAAAAACAACACTATAAGGAGACAACTGACACAATGTCAGAAATTATTTGTAAACTATTCATCTAACAAAAGATTAATCTTCAGAATACTCCAAAAACTCTAAAATAAAAAAAATCCAGCTTAAGAAATAAGTAGAGACCCTGAATAGACATTTCAGAAAAGAAGAGAAACAAATAGCCTAGGAATGTATGAGAACTACTGAGTATCTCTAGCCATTAGGAAAATGCAGATCAAAACCATGATATGGGCACTATGCGGCAGGTTTAAGCCAGGACTACTTGGGATGCCCACAGCCCATATCAGAGTGTCCTGTTTGAGTACCAGTTACTTTGCACTTCCAATTCAGTGTGGAACAGCAGGTTTAAGTCACGACCACTTGGGAGCCCACAGTCCATATCAGAGTGTCCTGTTTGAGTACCAGCTACTTTGCACTTCCAATTCAGCTTCCTGCAATTGTGAACTCTGGGAGGCAGAAGACCGCCCAATTCCTTGAGTTCCTGCTACACCTGTGGGAGATCTAGATGGAGTTCCTAGCAATTACCTTCGGATTGGCTTAACCTGTATGTTGCAGACATTAGGGGAGTGAACTAGTTTCTGGAAGATCTTTCTCTTGCTTACTTGTTCTTTTTCTCTTTCCCTGTTATTTTTTTTCAAACAAATAAATATTATTTAAAAGGCATGAGCTATGTTACTCTAATTAGAGTGGTTGTTATCAATAAGACATAAAATTGGGGCTGGCATTGTGGAATAGCAGGTAGAGCTGCCATCCACCATGCTGGCATCCCATATGGCTGCCTGCTCATGTCCTGGCTGCTCCGCTTCTGATCCAGCTTCCTCCTAATGGCCTTGGAAAATCAGTGAAAGGTGGCCCAGGTGTCTGGGGCCCCCTGCCACCCATGTGGGATACCTGGATGAAGCTCCTGGCTTTGGCATGGCCCAGCCCTGGTTGCTGCAGCATCTGGAGAGTAAGCCAGCCGATGCAAAATCTCTCTCTCTCTCTCTCTCTCTCTCTCTGACTTTCAAATAAATAAATAAACTTTTTTTAAAAAGAAGAAGAGGTAGAAGCAGCAGCAGCTGATGCTGCAGTTCAATGGGTTAAAGCCCCAGCCTGCAGCTCTGGCATCCCACATGAGCACGAGTTCTAATCCTGGTTGCTCCACTTCCCATCCAGCGTCCTACTAATGCACCTGGGAAAGCAGTGGAGATTGGCCCATGTGCTTGGACCTCTGAACCCACATGGGATACTCAGAAGAAGCTCCTGGCTCCTGGCCTCACCCTGGCTCAGTTCTGGCTGTTGCAGCCATTTGGGGAGTGAATGTCTCTCCTTCTCTGTCTCTCTCTCTGTAACTCTGCCTTTCAAACACATAAATAAATCTTTAAAAATATTAAATCTTAAAAAAAAATGATGCAAAATAACATGGGCCCAGTGTTATGGCACCATCAGGTTAAGCCACTGGTTGCAGTGCCAGAATTCCATCTCAAACTGCCTATAATCCAGCTCCCTGATAATGTGTCTTGGAAGGCCTAGTAGATGACCAAGACACGTGCTTCGGAGGGCTGAAGAGGATTTGGATAAACCCGACCAGGAGTCGGCAGACTCTCAGAAGCCACTATGCTGCAGGCTGTGCTGCTCCCTGGCCCCGGGCTTTCCCCTGCTCTATTCCTGGTTCCCTGGGGGCTATTTTCCTGCAAGGGATCCAGTCCCAATTTCCTTCCTTTCTCAAGGTCAGTGACACAGGGAGCTCCGCCCTAGCTAATCCCAGGGCCTCCTGCTATGTGTCCGGTGGCACAGTCCTCCCAATAGACCCCTGTCTGTTGTGGGAGAGAGATCCTCTAAGTCACAGAACAGGGTCCAGCCATTCTGAGTGGCAGGGAGCCCAAGATGGACTGAGCACACAGGGCTACAGCTCAGGACAGAGCCACCTCTCCCGTGTGTAAGGGGAGCAGAGTCCTCCCAGTCACCACCTCTGTCTGTGCTTTCCCCCAGCGAGGGCTCTGCGGTCACAAGGACAGGTGTCGCTCCCCCTCTTCGCGGAGGAACGACACTAAACCCTGCCTAGGCTTCATATCCGAGTCACGGCACCATTATGTCGCTCCCCGTCTTCGTGGAGGAACGACACAGGACCCTGCGCTGTTCTTTTGTCTGCTCGGCCCTCCCTGGGTTTGCTGCTGGTTCTTCCCGGGTTGGCTACCGTCCCTTCCACCTCTGTGGAAGGGCGGTTCCCCCTGCCACTTTCCCCACTTCCGCGGGGGAGCGGGGGCCGGCTCTCTCGGGGGCTGCTCAGGTGTTCCTCATAGATGTTCCCAGTGCATGTTGTCTCTCTCCCCCTTTATAGTCCTTTTCCACCAATCCCAACTCTGCTACCCACACGCCGAGTACGCTGCTCTCCTCCAATCAGGAGCAGCTCCTGCAGCTTGTCAAGTTGGTGAAAGGCAGCTGTGTAGAAGCTGTTTTTCTCCTCTCCCAGCGCC